TCTCTCTCTCTCTCTCTCTCTCTCTCTCTCTCTCTCTCTCTCTCTCTTCGCAAACGCTTCACATCCATGGATATTTGTGTTTGTGTGTGAGTATGATTCATATTCCAACTCGTGTTCCATGCTGATTATGTCTTACAATATGCCATGTTTTTGGAAAGAAATTGCTTCAAATGAAAATAGCATTTTTCCTACAATATGCATATATGTAAACCAATACATATGAATGGGGTCGGCCTATCGCATCGATAGAGCGCCATGCTTTTCGAACTTGTGCGCTAGTATTATGCGGAGTGTGTCAGCGTATGTGTGTGTTTGTATATTCTTCCGTGTATTTTCTATCCACAATATCCTATCCGTGTGAATGTGTGTATGCGAACACACAAACACAGGAGCATAATGTACACAACATAAAAAGGAACAACTGTAGGAAAAGCGTTTTCACACGACGTGCGCTTTTCCTATTTTATCAAGTATGTCAGCACTATTTGTGTACATGTGCAGTGTATGCGGAAGCGAAAAACCATTGGCAAAATGTACGGAATACGAATCAATGCTTTATTCCATCTCGCTTAACCGTATGCAGTGGTTGTTGTGTGTTGAAAGTATGTGTTTGTTGATTTCATTCCGAAAAGAAGTGAAAGATCTGAACTGAAAAGTGTAGAAGCGCGCCTCTCTTTGTAAATTGGATGTGAGTGCCGAGTTTTTTTCATTCTTATTTCTTCGTTCGTTCGTTGTGTGTTTTTTTTCTCTGTTCTCTTCTGCTGCCCGTGTTTGCTGATTAGCTTTCTGTTCATTATTCCACACAAAGTTTTCATTTTAATTAAATTGTCATGTAAAAGCATCAACAACGGCTAGAAGAAGAAGAATAAGTACACTGTAGCTGAGCGTGTGTTGTTTGTGTGTGTATATTGTGCATGTATAAGTGTATGTGCCAATAGAGATTGTGCACCGCCTCGACGGCATTTCAATCGGCGAAAAAAAATTGATTTTCTTTTAAGTAAGGACTTGCTTGAATGCATTATTTCCGACATCGAGGACGACGACGACGACGACGACGCAAGACAGTGAATTCATATGAAAATCCAAAAGCGAACATTCTTTTTAGCCAATTTTAGCAAGAACTTTATTGCCACCAGGCACTAAAACTTTGTTCACATAAACCGTTCGGTTTAATAGTTTATTGGATGGATTCCATGTGCATATAAAAAGCGTTTGTCGCCAATCAACCAAACTTCTGTCGCTAGATGACGTCACACACACACACACACGGAACACAACAGGAAAACCATTTGCGCTCTTCATACGCGTATTTTCATGGCAGAAAAGTTTTTCTTCCTTTTTTATTGCATTTCTCTATTGCTGCCTCGCTCCATTTCATTTGCGTTCTCTTTCTCCCTTTCTCTATCTATTGTTCGCCATTTCCCCTTTCCTTCGCTTCGCTCTCGCGTTCACTCTCTCATTTGCGGTTGCCCTTGTCGCCGTCTGAAACAAAAAACACAACAATGCTGAGTGAATTTTAAGGATGTGTTTTGGATATTACATTCATATTCAGATTAATGGCACGAATTTTCTCAGTTCACTGCCCTCAATCATGTACAGAACTTTCTAACTGAATGTGTATGTTTCAAACGTTCACAATATGACCGCAACCAAATTGCTTTCTCTAGTTCGTTCTCATTGAATATCTCTTTCTCCCTCGCTCTCTCTCTCTCTCTGTGTGTGTGTGTGTGTGTGTGTGTGTAGGTTTTCAAAAGAGAGCCCTCACATTGAATGTGCAGTGTTTCAGAAGTGAATGTTTTGCAAACCATATATTCCCTTTAGCTTCGGTATGCTATCCATTGAAAAACCGCTTCAACCACTTAGGCTGTTGTTTGCATACAATGTAGTAAAATATAATGATTTTCATGAAATGCATACAATAATAATGTGAAGCAACGAAAAATGAAACTAAACTAAAGGTGTATAGCTGGTAGATTGTGGTGTATAGAAACAGGAAAGGTGCAAATCATAGCTGAAATGACGCTACAGTTGCGAACGTCCAACGTTGTTTTTTGATAGACAATTCAAAACTTCTTAACCAGTCACACTTTACACATTCAACCCACAAGCATATAGCAACACCTCGAGAATTCCAGAGAAATTGAACCAATTAGTGTCGTTAACAAGGCGATAGCTATCCATTTCTCCGAATACATCGCGCGCCACATTGAATTGAATCCATAAGAGTTAACCGGAATTGCAATTGTTCTTCATTATTGTCTGCAATTAATCACGCCATTCTCTTTCGCTTTTTTTTTCTCTTAACTAATTCGTTATGTTTCTAAATAATGTTCGTGTCTCTCTCTCTCTCACTCTCTCTTTCCCTCTATGTCTCTCTCTCTCCCTTCCTTCTGTGTGTGTAGGCGCAGCGAAAAGATGTGAACCAATACACGGCCGAGATAAATCAGCTGAAAAAGGCGCTGGTGGAGAATAATTCGCAGTTGATTGCAATGGAAGCGGCTTGCATACGTGAAACGGATCGTCATGTTGAATTGGAGGACAGTTTAATTGCATGGCAGGATAAATATGAACGCTTACACGAATCGCACAAACGTGTCCAAAAGGTCAATCAGAGTTTAGAAGATAAACTCCTTAAATTAGTTGATAGAAATGCCAGTGAACGTGCCCAGCTCACCAGTGATGTAGCCACGCTGAGTGTTCGTCTTGCACAAGCCAATTATAATATTGGCACACTACAACGTGAAATTGTGAGTGCTTTCGAAATCACTTTTTTGTTATTGTTGTTTTTTTTTTAAATGTCTGTATTTGTCCAAACGCTCCGAAACTAATTCATTTCCCTTCCATTTCCACGGCAACAGGAACGCTATAAGACTGATATGAGTCTGGCTATACAATTACTTCAATGTAAACCGGAAAATTTTGTATCACAGAAAGTGACGTCGGTAAGGGAAAAGAATGTGCATATTTTTAAAGCTTTTTTTTCTTGCAAAATTCGAATGAAAAACAATAACCAATGACATTTGCTCCCATTCCACACATTAGCTGCCACACGAAATGCAAACCAAATTATCACAGTACATACGCGTGGATACGAATTCACATTCCGATTCAGAGGGCAGTACAAGTGGCATTGGTACGGCTACCGATAATGCATATCACATTCTACCAGCCTCAGATAGTCCAGTATCGTCTTGTCCATTTTCATCATCGACAACAACATCATTAGTTTATGGCAATGGTAAGCAAAACATTAAGTCACATTTTACAAACGGAATTATTGAAACTGAGTAGCTTTTCGTACTACTTTGAAATAATAATCAAAAGCTTTTGATATTCCGTATCAAACAGACGTTCGCATTTGCATTTCTTAGGAAGCAGCATGTTTTAAGGCACAGCATTAATGCTAGCATATC